AAAATCATTTTTTTCTTCATTCTCACATTGTTTGTTTTCTGTTGTTTTTCCGGTGTAATAAATCAAATCAATCAAAAGAATGCATTATTGTGGCACAGAGTACACCTACTAATGAATTCCAAATGTGTGTTCTTTCAAAAACTTTTGCTATTTTTTACAAAAATGTTGTCCTGTGCATAGGTAAGTATTTATGTACATAGATCTTGGTCTGTCTGTCTGTCTGTCTGTCTGTCTGTCTGTCTGTCTGTCTGTCTGTCTGTCTGTCTGTCTGTCTGTCTGTCTGTCTGTCTGTCTGTCTGTCTGTCTGTCTGTCTGTCTGTCTGTCATGACATATTGTAACAATTCATTTTTTTCTCTCACAAGGTTATCTTCATCAAGTTCGTTCAAATGGTCTTATGAATTCAGCCGTTGCAATATGGTTTTCATTTTTCACCAAAAGTCATCCATTTGAAGGCGCTGATTGCAATAAAGATCTGGAGTTCAAACCGATGAGTGAAGTAGATGTGTTGTGGAAATTTGATGGTTATAATGATTTACAACAGGGACATATGGATATTTATGTTCTCAAGTAAGTGATGTACATCCAAAATATTCTTTGTTTGAGATTTTTAAGTCTGTGATATCATGGATCCTACGTCACTATGTCAGTCTAGCCCCTAAATATCATGAATTTAAAGGGGAGCAGAGATATGGCTTTTGACACTCTGTACATGAAATTTGAGATCTATGAATGGATTCTGTCGATAAAAATAACTTGTATGTGCTGCGAAATGCCCTAAATATCGGGTATAAAATGGGCTGTGAAGCAGACAACAAACGGCCGCTTTGCCAGGCGTCAATTCACCTCTAGAGGGCCAGTCACTGATGTCATCAGTGAACACTGATAATTGAACCCATTCATTTTAGTACGTCAATCCCATAGAAATGCTACTATGAAAGACATTGTTAACTGACCTAGTATCATGTGACTGTAATGACCACATGACTAAAATATGTATGTATCGTAGTATCACATGACTAAATGTCACAATATCATGTGACTCTAACATCCACATATTTAAATACGATTAAATGACTATCACATTGCCGTGGTTCATTTAAACAAATGATGTATTTTATACACATAATATATGTCGCTATGGGTCCCATATCAAGCACGATGCAGCACTGCCCTTTAAATACCACAACTAAATATAATGTGACTGTATGAATCATATGACCGAGTGTCACATGACAGTAAATATTACATGACTGACTTTCCTAGATGTATGTACCACAAGTGACAATGATTTGTCAGTTCATGATTTGAAATGAGCAATACCCCAAATGTTACGTCAATTCTTTTAATCAGATCACATCATCTGTACTAATTGATATCATTTTCACTCTAGAACGGTTTTATTGACATCTGCTGATAAAAATGGACAAATCTGGTTAGATAAATTCACCAAACATTTCATACAGGTTGGTGTGCTTTTGTTAATGTCATGATTCATCATCTTTAAGGCAAACTAATCATTTTTACTTTATGTTAATCAGATGTATTTACCATATTTGGATATGGTAATTCAAACTGATGAGTGGCACATTGATTAATATGACTCTTATGGTGGACTGCAGACTCAGTAGTGCAAACAAGTACACACTGCCCACCTGCCTGACTCGTGGCATTGGACTGCCTGAAGCTATTTTGGTTTATTTTCAACAGTCGTTGACTGATAATAATGTTTTCATATTCATTTCAATTTGTGTTTTTTGTTTTAATGAAATTTTCTTAACATCCTTCCTTCTTTGGTGTTCTCAAATATCAATTCAGACAAAAAGATTCCAACGACAATGTTAATTGACTTGTTGTAATTACAATTACGGTGTTTAGAAAGAAATTGATTAGTTTCCCTGACTGAAATTGCATATCAAATAGCCCTGCTAAACATCCTATCAGAATTTTTAGGACGCACATACAATAAAACAGATTTCGTGCAATTGTACTAATTATATGAATAATAATTCATTTTTTCATGAATTAACAATTGTGATCCTAGATAGTACAAAAACAAGTTCAATATTTTGATTAATACAAAAGTAAATATTATATGAGAGGGATGTCAATGTCAATTTTTGGTATACTTTGATGATGCACTATTAATATAAACCTTTGACCCCAAGCATTTACCTTTTATTTTTCCCTTGTCACCTTTGATCCTTTCATTACCATAATCAGATTTTGTCTTCTTCGACTCTTCTACCCTTCTTTCTTTTAACATTTCACTGCCATTGCCCCTTTTTACACTTTTACTACTTACTGTTTGTCATTACTATTACCAACAATTAACAAACTGTATTACACTTTTTTTTTAAACCTTGAGTTGAAAAATATATATACTAAACAGTGTGAATATATTTGATGCAAAATATAATTGAAATTAAAGAAATTTACAGAAAATGTCAAAATGGTAAAATACTTGTGTGTGCTTACTCGATAAGTCATAATATGTTGGTTTTTTTTGCTTATTTCGTTGATAGCTAAATGTACTAAATTCACTAAATGTACTAAATAAATGTAATGCTTCACAATTATCCTTCACAATCTGAATTTAAAGCATAGTGAATATTTTTGCAACATCAAATTTCTTAAAATTAAACTCAATAAATATTTCCCCCTCTACAATTGTATAAATAAGTTACACTGAATAACTGTGAAATCAATTAAATTCTATCTAATCATTTATAGTGCATGTATTTGCATTTATAGTGCATGTGCTTGCATCTTTGGAAGGTTGGTAATGTTCTTGGCACTTGTAACCTGTGTATTTAATAGCATTTGAATCACTTTCATTTAATTTATATTTGTAGTTTGAAGATGAAGATGAGGATACAGCAGATTACTGTGATAATATAAGGCACCAGGTAATCTGAACAAAATATCATGTATTTGTAATTGTTGATGACAAACATTGCTAATTTGGGATGCAATCAGGTTGCCATAGTAATACACACACATTTATACAAACAAATATGTAATGTACAGTATTTTATGGATTTGTGTTTGCATATGCTGTTGCAGTTGTTTACGTTTTAGACAAGTGGGTGTACGCAGTGACTGAAAATAAAATAAAGACATTGTTAGCTAGTTCCGTTTTGATCTTTGTCAGTAAAACAACTGACGGACAACCCTGTCACGGCAGGTCCCATACTAGTGCAGAATAGTGAACAACATTTGTTATCACATGCTCACATGCTGCTTGATAAAAACATAAAAATATGACATCACAGTGTTACTACCATTGCAAGACATAAAAGAAGTGATGAGTTTGTATTTTATCAATATCATTTACAAGTCACAGGTTTATTTTACAGGAGAAATGAACACATCAGTATTTTATTTGCTTTGTTTTTTCATTTAAACAATACTATTTTGCTGTAATTATTGATTTTGTAGTTTTTCTTTTTTTATTGATGTTTTTTTCAAAATTCAAAAGTTAATTATGTTTGATTTTCTTCCCAGTTCTGTGACATACTTGATCCTAATGGTAGAGGGTATGTAACCGTTGGTGAAGTCAAAGAATTATCAATAGATATGCTGAAAAAACTTTTATTGACTTTTGACCCAACTGATGTATCCAATACTGTTGAGTTTGAATACAGTCACATTGCAGCCAATGATATTATGTAAGTTGTGCACAAATTATCTTACAAAATACTTCTTATTCTTATATGTTTATTCAGCTACATTGCACCATCTGATCATCACACATGTTTTTGTTGCATAGTCTGAACTTTGCCATGCATTTTATTTGTTCCTTCTTGTTTTGTTAAAGTAAACTGGCTACACATTTGGCGACAATTGGACCAGACCCTGGTTTCCATGGCGATGAGTTCATAAATAGATATGTAACTGATATTGGTGGAACTCCTGAAAAAGCTAAAGAGGTGAGTTACCAATAATTGAATTCTGGCTAGGAGGAAGTTAATTGTAGTTATCCAAGCCCATCGTAAGAACAATCTTGTTAGCGGACTCTTACAACAAGAGCAATGTGCCAAAAAGTAGTACTGGTTATAGCAATCATACAAAGACATACTTTCCATGGAGGCATTATTTCTTCTCTAAAACTATGCTACCACTGGTGTTAATATTTGAAGTTGAAACTGTCTCAAGTGCAGTTTGAATCATAGCTGCTTTGATCCATTTGTTTAGTGATTCTGGAAATTTTGAGAAATTCAGGTAATTATGTTTAATATTTTTAGATTTTGACTGGTCTGGGTGCTGATGAGACAGGATTGGTTACCATGGAGATGGTACAGAAAAACATTGGTAAAGCTGTGGAGAAGTTTAAGACAGCAAGACACCATGATCCAACTGTTGAGCATTTGTGGTTTGAACATTTGAAAAAACATGGAGAGCTAGAATAATTCATAATGTGAAGTTAGCATAATTATTGTTTTGAATTATAATATAGTTGCAGGGTACAGAGATTATTTTGTTATGTAAAAGAGAATAAGATTCAATGTTTGGGTTTACCAGTGTTTGTATTGTCACATGTTACTTTGAATTTTAGTAATTTACAATTCTTGAAAATGTTAGTATAGCACTAATTGCTGCTATAGAATAATTGAAATAATTAACATAAGGGAATATATGGTAACCACCTAATATTGATTTTCTCACCATGTATTGTATTATATAGTTTTGATGTAATTCATAAAACATCATATGAGTTAAAATAATGTATAGCAAATTACAAACTTATTCTAAGTTATTTCAAACTTTAATGTAAATACATTTTTGGTATATTTTGATTAAAAATAGTAAATTGACAGCCATTTTTTTAAAGGATGCACTCAAATTTGGTATGCTGGTTGACCATGCAAATTTTTATGATTCAAAATGGTCGACTGGTGGCCATTATGTTTCTTGTTTTTACAGCTCCAGAGTCATTCTCAGACAAGCTTTAAATGATTTGGTTCGAAGTTTGTACAGTGACATGTGCTTGTCAAGTTTTTTTTTCTGATTGAACAGTTTTTGACCAACATAAATACTTTCTTCAGATTTGGTATGTTGGTTGAACATGCAAGATTACTAATGTACATTGTGATGGTTTGGTGGCCATTTTGTTTCCCCCATATACAGTGTTTATTTAACCAATAAGAAATGATCGTAAAAGAGTTTGCAGTTTTACTGATAATTCTATCTTCAGCATTATCTGAAACATGTCTGATCAAATTGACATTATATAAAAAAATATCTGCTATATCAATATTTTCTTTGATTTATTTATTCATTGGGACAATAGCTTGAACCTATTCTGTATATTGTTATAAAATCGAACACAAATAAAGTGCTTTGAAAATTTGCTGAGACATGATTATAAGACACGATTATAATGCTTTTGACTGAGCTGATTGTGTTGACATAAACTTAATGTACTTTTACTCCCAAGCACAAGATTATGGTACATGGCCACACATTCTATTATGCAATGACCACTTTTCTGTAGATTTGGTATGTTAATTAAACATGCAGATTTGCTGATGCACATCATGTGTTTTCGCAATTCAAATTGTCCAACTGGTGGTTATTTTCTTTCTTGTGTTTATGAAGAATGCACTTTCGTACTTATCCTTTGTATATCATAGTATAAATACAGTCATTTGTCATCCAATCAAAGATCACTGCTGGCACCATTCAGTCAGGATTATAACTGTCAAAAGGGATA